CACCTCGAGTACGTGCGGACCTCCACCTCGAGTACGTGCGGACCTCCGTGGAGTGAAGTACGCCCAAGTATGTGGGGGCCTTTAGGGGAGGGTGAGAGTTTAGTATGGAGGGTAACACCCAGAGACGTAAATATGTAGACGCCTCGTTAAGTGGGATGGCCCGCTGCAGCGGTACGTCAGAGCGTCCACCATATTGGATGTGGCAGATCTGCCGGTGAACTAATACAAGGAGATGTCCTGAGCTTCATAAAGCACCGTTCTACAAAGTGTTTTATGTTAATACTGCCTGTCGTTCACACACACTAATATATTTAGAAAACAAACAGGCACCAAAGACAACACTTGTAACTTTTAACATGATTATTAAACATGTTTACTCCTTAAATATTTAGTTTAAAGGTAAGCACTAAACCAACATGCGTGTTGTTTGAGTGTTTACAACAACTAATGTGTGTAACACTATTACTGTGGTGATAAGTTTGGAAATGTTCATATTTAACGTTTAATCTGTGTTGATAACAACCGGATCCTGAAATGTAGATGTGACGTGGATTTTCTGACTCGAGCACTAACCTTCACATTTAACTGATTTTGATTAATCACATCCATGAACAATATTTACAGTAGTCCCTCACTACTTCGCGGTTTGTTTTTCGCGGACTCGCTCTATCGCAGTTTTTCAAAATAATATTGGACGTGACACAATTGGATGATCAATAGATGAGTCGCATGATCGGCATGGATATTTTTATTTAAAATTCATTATTTTAAATTATGTAGCACCTGCTGCACCTGCGTGCAGCCCACACTGCAGGCAGGAGAAACTTCCTGTAGCTCCTTCTCTGTCGATCTCCGTTCTGCAGCGGAGAAGTGGGCGTGGCCGAGAGCGCAGAGTGCACCCTGCGACTTTACAAGTTCTCCCACTTAGAAATCATGGAGGGTCTGAAACTTTCATCTTAGGTGCATGTCCACTGTGAGAGACATAATCCAAAAAAAAAAAATCCAGAAATCACAATGTATGATTTTTTAAAATAATTTATTTGTGTGTTGCTGCTGCAAATAAGTATTTAAACAGCTGCCAATCAGCAACAATTCTGGCCCTCAAAGACCTGTTGGTCTGCCTCTAAAAAGTCCACCTCCACTCCACTTATTATTCTATATTAGAAGCACCTGTTTGAGGTCGTCAGCTGCATGAAGACACCTGTCCACCCCACACAATCAGTAAGACTCCAACTACTAACATGGCTCAGACCAAAGAGCTGTCCAAAGACACCAGAGACTAAATTGTAGACCTCCACAAGGCTGGAAAGAGCTACAGGGCAGTTGCCAAGCAGCTTGGTGAAAAAAGATCAACTGTTGGAGCAACTATTAGAAAATGGAAGAAGCTAAACATGACTGTCAATCTCCATGCAAGATCTCACCTCGTGGAGTATCAATATTCCTAAGAAAGGTGAAGAATCCGCCCAGAACTACACGGAGGAGCTGGTCCATGACCTGAAGAGAGCTGGCACCACTGTTTCCATGGTTACTGTGGGTAATAAACTAAGACGTCACAGTTTAAAATCACGCATGGCACAGAAGGTTCCCCTGCTTAAATCAGCGCACGTCCAGGCCTGTCTTAAGTTTGACCATGACCATCTGGATGATCCAGAGGAGTCATGGGAGAAAGTTCTGTGGTCATATGAGACCAAAATAGAACTTTTTGGTTTTAATTCCACTCGTCGTGTTTGGAGGATGAAGAATGATGAGTACCATCCCAAAAACACCATCCCTGCTGTGAAGCATGGGGGTGGAAGCATCATGCTTTGGAGTGTTTTTCTGCACAAGAGACAGGACGACTGCACTGTATTAAGGAGAGGATGACCGGGGCCATGTAGTGAGAGATGTTGTGGAACAACCTCCTTCCCTCAGAGCATTGAAGATGGTCGTGGCTGGGTCTTCCAACATGACAATGATCTGAAGCTCACAGCCAGGAGAACCAAGGAGTGGCTCCATAAGAAGCAGATCAAGGTTCTGGAGTGGTCCAGCCAGTCTCCAGAGCAAATGGCGACCGAGGGAGCGTGCACGGGAGGACTTTAACAAGATTTTTTTTCATTCAACCTTTATTTAGACAGATAAATCACTTTGAGCCTAGAAGACTCATTTACAAGTGAGACCTGTTTAGACAGACAACAAAGTAGTGAAACGCGACACATGCAGGAATTTAATAAGGTTAATACTTAAAAACAATTATTTGTTTGCTGGAAGTTATAGCAGAGGTGTGTCTCAGTTGAACTTTTACTTCATAAATGCACTTTAATGGTCAAATCAGCTGCATTTTGTCGGGACGAAATGAAGTTGATCTGATGATTGCTTCAAACAGCGAGCAGGACGGAGGTGGGGTACGGCAAGCTGATTGTCATTAATATCTGGTGAACATTCTCAGTCATCCAGGACATGGTCAATTTAAAAAAGTTCAAGACAAACACAATAAAGTATAATAAATAAAGTCCACTTGTTTCTGTCTTGAATTTTTTTTAATTTGTCATTAATAGCCACTTTTACATATTACATGACACAATGACATGCTATACAGCTCGAGTGCCATCTAGCAGCTGAAAAATGGTAGTGTTCAATATTTTCAGTCAGCATGAATGAATGAAAACAGTCATGTCTCAGCTAAAAATTGGTTCATAAATATGGAAAAATCCATAAATACGTCTCTTAGGCCTGTATGTCGCAGGGCATAAAAATTATGCAAATAACTGCAACTTATAGGCCAGAAAATACGATACTTGTAGCTGGATGTCACTTTCACCACAGATCCTCCTATGTTTGTGTGTGTGTGTGTGTGTGGGGGGGGGGGTTGTTCCAAGTATGTTTTTTTGTGCTCTAACTGTTTGGTCTTAAAGTAGGCAGTAAATGGTAGCAGCAAAACGTAAAATGAGAAGAGTTGAGAGCTGTGAGGCTGCTGTTGCAGGAACAGGAGCTGGTTGCTCATTATGAGAAGAAGCAGAAGCAGCTGAAGCAGCTGTGTGTGGAGGAGGGCCAGCTGAAGCGAGCTCAGGCCATGAAGATGGACAAGGAGTGCAAGTACAACATTCGCAAGCAGAAGAAGAAGGAGATGAATGAGCAGCACATTCAGGAAGTGTTGGGGTACTCACTGCCGTCTCTTCACATGCACACAAACGTGCGCTGTCCACACATACAGAACCTGACTCAAACTGTAGGATCTTTATTGTCATTCGCATCACATGTGGTACATGAGGTGGAATGAAACTGTGTACTTAGGGTCCCAGTTACACTGAAAAATATCTCCAAACACGTTCAAGACTAAAACAACTGGACTTTATTTGTAAGAGAAGACGCTTCTCTGCTCATCCGAGGATCTTTCTCAGTTCAAAGAGCAGAGCGTGTGGGGTTCAGGTTATAAGGCTGAGATAAAATAAACGCACTTATTGTCGAGGAAAATCAACACAACAACTCACCTGTTCCTCTCATTGGTTCAGAGATACACGGAGAAAAGACACAATAATCAGTCAGAGAGATTCAAGTTAAACAGTGTTACCAACATTTATTAAAGCTTTCAGCTGAAAGGAGACGCTCTCACCCCAAACCAACAGAGATGCAACAAAAACCCAAGACGTGTCTGACCGGAGCTTCAGCTTCTTCTGTATTTAACACAAAAGCTCCACCCAGAGACGTGTCACACATTCTTACAGCTCTTTGTCTGAACTAGTTCAAACTGATGTCTTCATTTCCTGGAAGTCCTTTTATGGAGTTGTTTTATTATTTTCTTCTGCTGTTCCAGTTTACTGGTGATCTTGTCATCAGGTGGGACACACACCAGCAGCTCCCTGTTAGTTCATGTCCCGTACACAACAAACTCTAATACATTCTGTGACTTAGTTCAGTCTGTACTTGTTGATACCAAAAGACGAGCAGATCCAGATAAAGGACAAGATACAGTTGTGATACATGGAGCAATACAGCACAGCAGATAAGAGCGTCTTTACAATATGTAGATGGACAGTTCACACCTCACGTTAACAGTGGGGTCTCTTCAGGTCTTTGTTCCTCTAATCACAGACGAGGCCCCTCTGTTCCCATCAGGTGTGAAACTGACTGGGAATCAGTCTGAAAGTTTAATCACTCTTAAAGAGTGTCCCTTCTCTGTGAGGTGGAGGTGAACAGCTGAGTCTGGTCCTGAGGCTGACCAAGACTCGTCAAGTGAGAAAGTTCCTCGGCTCAGGAGAGAAACGTCTCGTTACAAAGAAAGTCCAGTTGTTTTTGCCCTGAACGTTTTTGGATGTATCATGTCCTGCATGACTGAGAATCTTCACCAGCACTCACAAATATAAAGTATAAAAAGAAACCGTATACAAGGATGTAAGATGCTAAACATTAATAATGTCAAATCACACGGTGCGTCAACGGCAGCCTGAACATGTTGAGTCTGTGTTCCAGGCACTGCAACCAAATCCACGAGAAGCGTGAGGAGATGGTGGACAGAATCCAGGAGATCTGTGGAGAGACGCAGCAGCTGAAGGCCAAGATGACGAGCCTGCGGGAGGTCTGCAGCAACGAGACGGAGAAGGCTCAGGTACAGCCGGCGCTGCGAGCTCTGACCGAAGGGTCCTGGTCTGAGGCTAACGTGTGCGTGCGTGTGTGCGTGCAGGTGCTGTATGACACTCTGTCAACGTCAATGGACGAGCTGCACAAGAGGATTGAGCTGCGCCTCGCAGACCTGAAACAGAATGTGAAGAACTCCTCACACTTGTAGACGTGATGTTTCAGACGTTCTCCTGCTGAATGTTCTCGTTGTTTCAGGTTCAGTCTGTTGAAGTTGCATCGACCAGCCTTTGTGCGTTTCACCGTCTGTCTTTCTAAGATGACCACGGCAAAATTAACACAATGTACTGAAACGAATCTGTGAAACACTTTTCTTAAAGAAGTGACGGAGCGTTTGGATGGACAAGTTTGACTCCATGTAAAAAGAAAACAGTTTTAGTTTTAGCACATTTTTTACTAACTCTTCGCCCTGGAACACGGTGTTGCTTAGAGAAATTATAATATTTAACTGCTTCCAAATAAACATTTAAAAATCACCATAAAACTAGTCAATCTTTGTTATCTCGTGAAATAAAATTTAAAAAATCTCATTAAAATTAATTTTTAAACATTATTTTACCTCTTTAAGGGTCTTTTGTTTAAGAAAACCACATTTGGGGGTTTGATTTTTTTAATAAAAATAAAAATCTTAAGGCACTTTGTAAAATGAAAAGTAATTCTGGATGGTGTTAACTTGTCTGAAGGGGATATAATGTTGTGGAGTTTTTAATGAAACAACAATTGAGGCTTATTTTCTCGCTTGCTGCTGGTCATGTGCTGTACACAGAATCTGTTTTAAGGAGCTCGAGGTGTTCGTGTCAGAGGGACGGACTCGTTCAGGTGTTCTCGTGTCCAGATGAGCAGCTCCGTCAGCCGAGCCTCCAAGAAACACGCGTGTTACGCTTTGTTTGATGTTTTGATATTACCCGTCACATCAGGTCAGATTGTAAGTTACTACATTTATCACCTGGACGTAAAAAACACTTTGCACATTGGGAAGCACGACTTACTTTTATAGTTTTATCTGTATGGAGTTATTAAATACTAAATGTTCTGATCAGTTAATTACTTTTTAAGGTCAAGCTTCTTTATTGTTATTCACATCACATGTGGTACATGAGGTGGAATGAAACTATACACATGGTCCCAGTTACATCCAAGAAAAATACAACTTGTAAAGAAAAACTGGTAAGATCCAAGATATAATAATACACTTCGTACAAAATAATGTTTCAAACAACAGCAGCACAAACTGAGCAGATGAACGAGCACAGCAGCAAGAAATAGATCAGCAGCATGAGATCAGCAGCATGGATAATCATCTCAACATCGGATTTTAATCAACTGCTTCAGGAGCCTTTTAAGGAGGAGCTTGTTTATAAAACTAGAGCTTTTGAACATGAAGGTGATTATTAATTATTTAGTGTAATAAAATCAATAAAGTTTTGTCTTTGACTTCAAATGTCTGGGATTATTTTAGCTTTTGAAGCTGAAGCAGGATCAGAAACAAACGGTGGATCACGATGTCTTCACTTCATTTTCAGGGTTTTCCTTAAATCTCTTTCGCGCTGCGCGGGTCTGCATGTTCTTCTGTCCAGTCAGAAGTCCTCCTCCTCCTCCTCCTCCTGCTCAGGTCACGCTGAAGCTCTCCATCCGGTGCTGGGTGGTCCGTTCGGGTCTTCAGGGCAGTGTCCAGTTCTGCACTTGTTACTTTAGTACTCGTGTTGTTCTCTTTGTACTTTAAATGTTGTGTGGAACAGGTCTCTCTTGTAAACGAGTCCTCGTGGCTCAGTGAGCCTGTAAATAAAGGTTGAATGAAAAAACTAAAGGAGCGCACGAGGACGGTGCTCGGGGTCTGGCCTCGTGCGCTCCTGCAGGCTCCGAGCCCCAGGAGGCAGACCGGGTCTGGGACGGTGAAAACAAATTTTTAAAAACGTTTTGTGTATAAATTTTTATTTGTTTTAATCTGTGAAGATTAAAAAATAAACTGCCAGCTAGAAATCTGAAGTTAACTCGGCTGAAAAATCACAAGACACAAAATTATTGGATCTCAGGAACATTTCCCTCAAACGTTTCAAGAGACGGTTCAACTTTATTCTAACCCACAGACGTACAACTCACAAAACAACAATTCAACTTTAAAGCAAAGATAAAATAATCTGTACAAGAAACAAAAGCACACGTTTAAATTGAACGATAAAAGTGACACGATGAGTAAATCCATCAAACGAAGTAAAACTAAGTTTAAATACAGATGTTTTTGTAGAATCTGGTTAATCAAAGATTTAACGGTGAACTAAAGTTCATTAACAGGATTCATATAAAAATGTTTAATTTGATCATTTTAATAATCTGTACTCTAATTTACCAAAAATTAAAATTCTCACGTGTACTGAAACATGTTTCGGGGTCTTACCACGAGCTGGTCAGGCGCGTGACGTCACTGTTTGAACTCTGAATCCGCCCATTACAACCAGTACTGAGAGTTTAGTGGAAACGACTCCCGGCAGTTTCACGGTTGTTAACAGCTCGTTCAACCAGCCGTGCTCTGCTGTTTGTTTACATCCTTGGAGGTGGACGAAGCTAAAAAAATGTCAGCCATGATGTCGGTTATTGGCGGTCGCCTTTCCCTCCCAGTATCTGTATACTGGGATTGTATAATTGACAAGAATGTAGTAACTGAGCTAAGTAGATCATTTGAAAATAATTAAAATGAAGTAGAAGAATGTTTAGGTTGTGTCAGAAAACATGTTTTCTCACTGCACCAAAATAAATGAACAAATAAAACCATTAAAAATAAAATGTGGCTGATTCCCTCTAAGATCTTCCAAGGGCTAAAGGAATGGTGCATTCAGGTGAAATGGGACGTTCTGAAACTACTGTTAATAATTATTGGTACGCAGATGTGCTTAGCGGCCGTCTTCGTGTGCTGGTCCATCTTTAGGTCTGTCCTCAGAGCTGGGGCGAGTCCTGGTCTTCAGGAGGAGCAGCTGAGATTTGTAATCTTTCAGCTGGCTTCTGACCGAGCGCAGCTCCTTCCGCAGCTCGTTGATTTCAGTGATGAGAGTCGCGTTTTCCTGTGGAGACCACAGTCGGGGTTAGAGTGGAGCTCAGAAAGGAAAAACACTTTGAGCAGAGATTCTGGTGTTAAATGGTCCGTTTGACGTGGTTAGAATGTCACCGTGCCCTGACCAGGTCCTGCTGAGCCTCCTGATCGGGTACAGCCACTAACTTCAGCGTTTTGGGTGTGAAACACCAACACAAAGCAACAGCCGAAGGAAGTCGGTCAATGAGTGAGAACGTAGGTCTAACCACAGATTAAGGCCTGGATCTTGGCTGGTCTTGGCATTCCAACCAACTGGTTTATCTGGTCTCATGTGAACCATTCCACTGTGGTTCTGGCTGGATGTTTTGGGTTGTCCTTCTGAAACGTGAACTTCCACCTCTCAAATGTTCTGCAGGTTTTCTTCCAGTATTTAGCTCCATCAGCTCTGCCCAGCTGCCCTGTCCCTGCTGAACAACAGCATCCCCACAGCATGATTCTGCCACCACCATGTATCACAGTGGAAATGCTGAGTTCAGGCTGATGTGCACTGGTATTTTGGGCTTATCAGTACCTTCCACATTTCCAGTTACCCATTAAGGCATAAGGATAGTGAAGATAGTCAAAGGACCCGTGAAAGGAGACGGCGGGCTCCCCGTGGCTGTGCTGTCCAGTACAGAGCGCACGTCGACCAGCCAGTGTCGGGACACGTTCCTGCATCTGTGTGAAACAGCACTTCTCTGTTCACAACAAAGATGACCAACTTCCTCATGATCTACTGAAAAACATCCACCTGACAACTTGTGCTGCTTCTTGCTCCTGTTGTGTGGTGCGCTGCAGAGGAACGACTTACAGGAGCTCTGACCAGCTTCTGGTGTAGAGTATATTTATGGATTCATCTTTATTTAAGCACATCCTGTTGAGAACACGCATCTCTTGTGCAAGGTCCTCCTGGGCCTGAAGGCAGCTTAACGTTTTAGACTGGAAGGAGAAACCAGAGTAAACCCACTAAAAACGAGGAGAACATGCAAACTCCATACAGAAAGATCCCAGCTCCAAACCGGGGATTGAACCCAAGACCTCTTGCCGTTACGCAACAGTGCTAACCACGAAGCCGAAAGTTTCAAATCTCCGTGCAAAAACTAACTTTCTCTTGTCAAGTCTGAAGCAGCCTCACCTGGTTATTGTATTTTTTATGCAAATGAAACATTCACTGCTAAAAACAACGTGTTGGTGCAATACAACACTGACAAAACGAAACCGCTACACCAGTGCACGACGCCGTCGCGTTCTTAACATCCATGTCATCATCAGAGCACCATCAGGAAGTGGTGGTGCAGAGGTTAGAGAAGGTGGGCCTGTTATCAGATGGTCACCGGTTCGACTCCCTAGACCGTCAACACCGAAATGTGGGTCGAAAAGGTGAAACACCCACACCTGCCTCCACCCTCATTTGCCCCGATCTGGGCCCTTGAGCAAGGCACTTAACCCCCACCATCTGCTCCCACAAACAGGCCTCTCTTGAAACTGAGTCCTCATGACTCAGAGACTACTTGTATGAATAAAGGTCAAATAAAATTAAAAATAAACAAACATCAGTCCAATAGTTTCCTCAACCCGTATGACGGCATCGCTGCAAAAATGACCAGTTCCTTCAACAGAACATTTTTGTCTGTGCAACTATTAAAGTGCCCTAAATTTATTTAGTTTTTAAATGTGGTGAGTTCCTGAAATGAAAGATTGTTTTAATGCAGTTAACTCATAAAATGTCTCGAGTTCCTGGGTTTGAAAAGTAAAAATCAGAATAATGAGGAGTAAATGCAAACTTGCTGTGCTAAAATGTTCGGCTACTACTGGAGTTCTTTCTTGGATGTTTTTTGAGAAAAGATCATCACAGTTTTAGATTTTCAACACCTTCATAAGTGAAAGGTAGTGCTGACAGGATGCTTATGCTCTGATTACTGTTTGTAGTAAAAACAATCCTAAAGCTGTTAGTGCTTTTGTGCTACCCTTTTTTAGTATGTAAGAACAAAACCAACAACATCCTTGGTCCAAAGGAAAAGTCCTGTAATGACCAGTTTGAATTAACTGATCATACTGACACTGCGTGCAGCTGAGCCCAGCATAAGAATTGCCTGCGTCGTTCTTTTCTATGCACGTCCACCAAACAACACACGCCTCAACTTATGACCCTCGGCACATTTGACAGTTTGGGTCAAAATACAATCATTGTAAAGCAACAGTACAATTACTTGTTCATCATTTCTCATCTGGCAACCCTGTGAAACTGCAGCATTCCCATTTTAACCTGCTCATTTTCTGTTCATTTGTCCCAGTAAACAGAAAAACCACTAACGTTTGCGGGGGTTGGTCCTGTGTAAACAGGGCCCGAGTTAATTAGTCCAACATTTTTTCCATCGGTGGTAACGAAGTATTCTTGTGTTTCTTACCTTCATGATCTTGACGTAGACTTTCTCGTGCCCCTCTGAAGATTTTGCCAGCTTCATCTTCAGGCTGTTGATCGTCTTCTCTCGCTGGTCACAATGGCGGCAGAAAGCGTTCTGAATATCATCTGCACTGACCTCCTTGTGGGGGGAGACACGTCTAAATACAGAAACTTATGTCTTTCTTGGAATGTACATAAAAGTTGTTGTTTTAGTAGCAAGTGGAGAACTTTCGCTTCATGAACAAAGATCTACATGAACACTACTCACGTGGTCAGAATATCGAGCGTAGCGAGCATAAATCATCTGGATGCTGTCTTTCAGTTTTTTGGGTTCCTGGATTAAGCCAACACACATATGGAGGTCCGACTGAAGTCGCTTAAGAAGTGTCTCCTGATCTTTCACCTGCTCACACAAAAATGTGTAACAATACATATAAAATCTGAGACAAACCAAGTACGTACCCTGTTATTACCCAGTACAAACCCTGTAAGTACGTGCCAAGTACATATCCTACAAGTACCACTATGTGACTTCCAGTTATGTAGCTGGTAAGTGGTGTACAGCAACCAGGTACAAATCAAGTAAGTACCCATTACATGCATACTAGTTACAAACCTGGTATTTACAATGTAAGTACACAGTAAAGAACCAGTGTTTACCCCATATTTAGCAGGTATGTACCCGGTAAGTACAAGACAAGAAAATCCCACAGTCTTTCAAATAAAAGATAACCTCTATGCTTACTGGGTCAAGATGCCCACAAGTATCAAATACATACACAATAAGTACCAGTTAAGTACACAATACGTAGCCTGTTAATACCTGGTCTGTACCCAGTAATTATCCAATTTGTACCCAGGTATATATGTGGTACTTAACGGGGGAAAAAACCTATATGTAACAGGTGAGGACTGGGTATGTAGGCAGCAGGTGAGGACGTCCACCTGTGTAATATCGCTAAAATTAGAAACATCTTCTCTGAAAATGATGCGGAAAAACTGGTTCATGCATTTATAACATTTAGACTTGACTTTTGAAATGGTTTATTATCTGGATGTTCAAAAATTATTTAAAGTCTTCAGTTGATCCAAAATGCTGCTGCCAGAGTCTTAACTGGAGTTGTTGGGAGAAATCATCTCTCTCCATCTTTAGCTGCTCTCCATTGGCTCCTTGTCAAATTCAGAATTGAATTCAAAATCTTGCTTCTAAACTACAAAGCTCTCAACAACCTAGCTCCATCTTATATTAGATATATTACTGTTACATATTTTCCTAACAGAGCACTTTGCTCGCAGACTGCAGGTTTACTTGTGGTTCCTCGTTTCCAAAGGCAGAATGAGAGGAAGATCTTTCAGTTATCAGGCTCCTCTCTTGTGGAACAAACTTCAAATTTCTGTCCATAAGGCTGACACATTGTCCAGGTTTTAAGATTAGGCTTAAAAGGATTAAAAAAGAAGGATTAAAAAGAATTACTTCAAAAGAAGGATTCTTCATAAAATGAAGAACATTATAGACAACCCTCAGCATCCTCTTCATCAGACTGTCATACAACAACAGACTGTCATACAACAACAGAGTGTCTTCAGTCAGAGGCTTCTTCAGATCCGTTGTAGGACAGACGCTACAAGAGATCCTTCCTGCCCACAGCATCAGCATCTAGAACAACTCATTAATGAAACCAGGATGATGAATTACCACAACATATAATTTCCCTCTGGGATTAATAAAGTATTTTTGAATTGAATTGAAAATGTTCCTTTTGGACTAACCTGTATAAATAAAGGTTGAATAATTCTAAAGAGACTAATCAGAGCTTTATCACATTCATACACTGATGGGACACACATCACAGGCAATGAGGGGTTCAGTGTCTTGCCCATGGACACTTCAGCATGTGACTGCTGGTGGATTCGAACCCCCAACTCTTGCATTGGAGGACGACTGCTCTAACCACTCAGCCACAGCCGATACTTTCCTTTTTGATAAATCCTAGAGTTAGGGTGGCCTTGTTACATTGCTATAGACTTAGACTACTGGAGGGCAAATGGACCACATTTCTTAAAATGAATTGTTAAAATTGAATAGTTTTTATTTGATATTATTTCTGTTTTAACATGTGATTCTCAACCTGCCATTGTGTATCCGTTCCTCCTTCCTGTCCTCTCAAACCCAGCCGGTCGAAGCAGATGGTCGCTTGTCCTGAGTCTGGTTCTGCAGGAGGTTTCTTCCTCATGAGGGAGATTCTCCTTTCCAATGTTGACTGCTTGCTCAAGATGAGAGTCTGCGATGACGTTAAACTAAAAGCAGTCTGCTTCTCAGATAAATGCTGCTAACTTACTTTTATGCATATGAATGTTTCTGTACAGCACCTTGAGATGATTTCTGCTGTAACTTGGCATGATATAAATGAACTGAATTGACTTGGTTATGGCAGAAGGTGAGGACTGGGTATGTAGGTAGCAGGTAGTAACTGGTTGTGTAGGTAGCAGATAATAATGTGGTATGTAGCCAGTATGTAGTAACTTGGTATTTAGTCAGCAGGTAGTGACTGGGTATGTAGGTAGTAGATAGTGACTGGGTATAGACAGCAGGTGATGACTGGGTATGTAAGTAGCAGGTTGTGAGAGAGCTCTAGTAGAGTGCTGTATGAATGGGTCAATGAGGGCACAGATTGTAGTGTAAAGCACTTTGAGTATCTTGAAATAAGATAGAAAGGCGCTATATAAGTACAGTCCATTTACCATTTACAATAAGTAGCAGGTTGTGACTGGGTATGTATATAACAGATAATAACTTGGTATACAGGCAGCAGGTAGTAAATAGGTTTGTTGGCAGCAGATGAGTACTAGGTTTGTGTCAGTCGGTGTGGGTATGTGGGTCAGTGGGTCTGTGTCAGTCAACCTAAAGTTGTTTAAAAAACAACAGTATTCTTGTTTTTCCTGAAATCTGATTTAAAGCTTCAATAGTATGTCAGGTAAAGATGTGGGCTTTTTTTTTTTTTTACATTTTATTTTTAATCTTTTCATGTTTTTGTCGCTGCACTTACAAAGAAGTTGCATTCTTTCACTACAACAGATGGCTGAAGCTGAGACCCAGTAAACACAAAAAGAACAACAGAGTATTTTGGATTTTATGTGTGCAAGTGCTGACTTTTTGCATCTCCTTGTGCAGTTCTTTGTCTTTGGTCCTCAGTTTCAGCCCCAGGTCTGACACAGTGAGCTTCAGCTGAGAACTGCTCCTGTCCATCTCCACCAGCTCCTTCTCCAACTGTTAAAAGAGTAGAACAGTCACATCACTGTTTATCCAAGTCTGTGTGAAGGCTTTCATCCGCTCATTTCTTTTAGCTTTTTCATCAGTCCTGGTGACTGAAAAAAGTTTCATTTTAATATTAGCACTATTGTATGAAAACAATAATTGTGTTATTCTAGTCCACACTAAAAACCGTATTAATGCTAACAACCAGGACTACAGGAAGATCATGATTTTCATGTATTTTATTATAAAAATAATAATCTGTGATATATATGATGAAGATTATGCATAACAAAAGTTAACTGAATAACAAATAGCTTTGCATCAAAGGTCTAATTGATTATTCAAATTAGTGAAACTTAAAAGGCAGATTTTAGACTGGTTTCTGTTTGTGAAGTGGTTAAAATTTGTGTCTAAGGTGAGCTAAGCTTGTCTGATAAGTTGTGATGTAGGGTCACCAGAAAGTCTCTGTCCTACCAGGATGAGATGGTTCCGACAGCTGCTTAAATGGTACCAGCCTCACAATGTTCCGGTTAACTGAGAGGCTGAAGTCTCCTCAAACTTCACCTGTCATCATTAGAGGGTCAAAGGTCCATATGGTCGTCAGCTGGGATTCACCACTCTGTTGTGTGATGGTTGCCTGGTAGACAACTCTCAGGTTAATGCCTGGTTCTGGTTCTGGTTAAGCTGGGTTTCTTCTCTCTCCAGTTCTTTGTGCAGAAGCGTGTCTCTCTGGAGTTTTCTATTCAAAGCTACAGTGAAGTCTTCGGAGCATCTCCCAAGCGTGTGTTTTCTCCCAAGCTTTTCTTAGAAGAAGTGAAACTTACTGTTGAGCTAAAACAGAGATGAAGGTCCGCCTCTCGGAGGGGTGATCCTAACTTTTGGCCTATTAAATAAATCTAGAATCCCTTTTCTCTGCCTTAAAAGTTTTCCTTTTAAAAGAGAAAATAAGACAAATGTATTATCTTAAAGAAATATTACTTAAACCACACATTTTCATGAATAAACATTCAGGTATGACATATTTAGAATTAAACTTAAAACATAATGTTTCACCAAAGGTGTCGCTGTCCATCTCCTGAAAAGGAATGTCATTAAACAAAGGGTGTTGTCTTCATGGGAACGAGTCTGGGAGAAATACTCCTTTTTGATAAAGGGGAGTTATCAACGTAGTGAGTTCGGATGTTTCAAAAACTCCGAGGTCAGTTGAACCAAAACTCTTATTAAAACGATCTGTCTGTTTCATGGGAAATGAGTTCATATTGGCAGTGAAGTTAACACAGTGACATTTTTTTAATATTACATTTACATTAGTGTCAACTAAGAAGTTTGTGAGTGAAGCTGAATATTTATAAAACAATTTCTGTTCCCAAGGGAATAGATGAATCTTATTTTAACAGTTTCAAACACAAAACACAGAATTGATGTTTGTTTAAGGTGAGGTGAACTCTTTTTTTTGTTTGAGCTGAGGTGTTCTTTTTCTGAGTTGGTGTTCCCCTACATGAATGTGGCCCTTGCAAGTAAAGCTGGTTTAAAAAATGTTCACCTGCTGTGAGTTGTGGGTCATTTGAATAAACAATGTTAGAGAATGAGTTTTTTTTTTTTTCCCTAACAGTCACCATAGATCCATCTTTGGCCACCCCAATCATTTGAAAAAACTATACTTTCAAGCAATATAAAAACTAGAACACATAGTTTCCACAAATCAGATAGGTGTTTGGTTTACAAACAGTATATGATGGTGGCCATTGTCAAGTGATGTGCATTTCAGGTAAAGTATGAAGTCAGTTCTCATGACCTAAAAGAAGGTTAAGAGCAGTACAAACCACAGATTCCTATGTATGTGTTCTGAAAAAGCAAGAATGGTTTATTTACTAAAACTTCTGAAAAAGCAAGAAAGTTTATTTACTGAAACAAGTCTATATAATAGTATGTAACAGTGTGTGAAGTCTTTCTAATGTACTATGTTTTAAGAGTGTGAAATCCTATGAATTAAGACTTAATCAATCAATGTTGAGTCACCACAGGAAGTGGAAGTCTGAACAGATGGCCAGGCCAGTAAGAGGAAAAAGAGGAAGTTATCTGTAGAAAAAGAAGAAGTTATCTGCAGAAAACAGGAACAAGTTTCCTTAAGTGAAGAGGCTCTCTCAGAAAAAGAGGAAGCTCTCTGCAGGAAAAACAGACCTAGTGGCAGCCAAAGATAATTTTAGCAATGATAGTGACGTTGAGCATGTGATCTGATGTAGTAGAATAGTCTGTATCCAGGGCTGTTGCTATGCAGAAATTACGCAATGAGCAGACAAATGTATAAAAAGGCTCAGCATTAACGACCGGGGCTGAAGCACTTGGAGAGTTTTAAAGGACAGTTCATTGACACATTCAGCAACTTAAAGGAACTTGAAGATCTGAAGAGAAGAATAATTTTTCTCAGCTCAGCCCAGACCTGAAAGCCAACTCAAGTTTCCAAGATTGGATTTTATTGAATGTAGTATGAAATATTCTTTAAAAGCAACTGAGGGATGATTGTCACCAGCTTCATCATTCAAGGATCCCCTTTGACAAGGGGTCTTCGAGAAAAGATGGTATGACACATACTAATAGATGTCCTAAAATAAAATAAAATAATCAAAATCGCTTATAGCTATATACACCAGTAAAACGTTAAGACTCTTGACAACATTTTGAGTTATGGGGATTTACATGTTATATTAAAGTTGGTATTTTTAAAGTCTTAATTAATGCATTTTAGGAGAGTTTCCCTATTTTTGCTGCATTGTAATATATCTAGGCAGAAGAAGTCTAAGATTTCGGTCTCTTCTCCCAACCTCGAGATGCCGTGATGAAGAGATGGCGAGTACAGCAGGTGGGTCTGCAGGTGTGTCGCCCCCACCTTCGCCAAGCTCTGGAAGGACAGGCGAGTTGGCTCTGGGGACAGATATTCTGGCTTCAATTAAATCAAAATTCATAGCGATTATTAGAATGGAAATAAAAGCGGCTCTAACGGATGATTTTAATTTTATCAAGAGCGAACTGAAAGCAGTCCGAGTAGAGCTTGCTAATACCATTGCAGGCCTCAGAGTGGAGTTTGACCGAATTAAACTGGATGTTTCGCAGAACAGTCTATCCTTATACTTGGATAAAATTTAAAAAAACTACGTGAGACGGTGAAAGAGTTGAAGAGTGAAGTTGATGAGCTTAAGAGATAAACTCCATGCTCAATAATCCAGGTATACAATCCAACAATTTTCAGTCAGGCCATCTGGACAGTTTTTTTTTTTTTGTGCTGAAACGTTTCACCTTCCATCCAGAAGGCTTCATCAGTCAAGGAAACACACAACAAAACTGATTCTTCCCCCAAACAGCTTACTCCAAAGTGGAACAAGCCAGTTATGTTGGTGCTAAGATGGTATCTTTGGTATGCCCCCTTCTCCGGTGCCGGCCCTCTTCCTTGTCGACAGTCATGTCAAACTGGTTCAAAACCAACAAAGTCCACGCTCAATCCGTTTTGTGTGTTTCCTTAAAATGCTAATGGAAGCCCTAAAATTGAGCAAATTGCCGCTGATTTATTATGTGTACCGACACCTGGCAGAAGAGGCTCAGATGGGAGATCAGGAGTTGTCATGGCCAGGCTTCATTATCATCAAGAACATGTGGAAATATGGTGGGCACACATCGGTGACCTGGTCCAGTTGTAGGGTCAAGAGACAAACATGTAGCATTAACACAGTATGAACAACATTCAGGAATTGTTTCTATAAGAACAATATCAAATATTTTACATGAACTGTAACATTGCTTTGCCTACGAGGAAATGTAAAGTTTGGTACAAACACCTGCATCCTCACCAACTTTTATAGATGCACCATTGAGAGCCTGGTGACAGGCTGCATCACAGGGTGGTACATGAACTGCACAAGTCAGAGCCGGAAAGCTCTACAGAGGGTGGTGCAAACAGCAGAGGACATCACTGGTAGCAGTCTCCACACCATCCAGGACATCTACCACAGCCGATGTCTGCGTAAAGCACACCACATCATTAAGGACCACACCCACCCAGCACAAGGATTCTTCCATCTACTACCCTCAGGCAGATGATACAGGAGTCTGCCATCACGCACGAAAAGACTCAAAGACTCAAAGACAGTTATTGTCCACAAGCTGTCAGATTACTGAACTCTCAGTAAATAACACTGAACAACTGGCAATAACTTTGCACTAAGTCACATCTGTGACAACTAATATGACTAATATTAGCTTGTGACACTTAATATTTTATTGTTAATGCATTATGTGGCTGTATCATGTATGCATCTACCTTACCATCATAATTCATTTCAATGTTACTCACTACCTGTGCAATAATCTGTTACACAACCTGTGTAGTTTATGTTAGTTATGTGCAGTATACATAATGTGAATTTAAGCTTATATTACTACCTTGAAATACTTATTCATACAAATTCATTCTACTTGCATCATTATATTCTACTATGTTGTTTACTATTTTTTCTTTAGGACCTTGTAAATATTGTATTTACTTTTTTACTTTTTGGTACTTTATTGAAAGCTTTAGTATTTCTTGTTTGTTTGTTCATTGTTTTAGTGAGTCAAATCAGTTCTTTGAATATTTCATTGTACTGTTAACCTTGTGTTAACCTGCATATGACAAATAAACATAACCTGAATTAAGCATTAACCTTTAATTCAACCATTAAGCATACAATGTAATTATGACAGAAAATGGAGGATTTACCTGCAGTTACTTTTGTAGAGATGAGGATGTGGTAGCTACTTCCTGTTTATAACTTGTGATCAGCTGATGGGGTTGGTCCCCAGATTTTTACATGTTTTTCAAACTCCATTTAATTTTTGAAAAATAATAAACTGTATCCCACCCTTTAAACTCTCAGGGTAACACGTGTCTGGATTGCCTGTTCGCCACTGACACCGTTTAACCATTTTGTTCTAGTGATTTTTCACAAACCCCTCTGACTGTAAAGCGTCCAGGCTGCAGCCTCAGGTAAGGGGCATTTACCTTTGGGACAAATTGAGGTTATCGAATGGTCATTTGCTGACACGTCTACTGGATTGATTGACAGGTTGTGCAGAGGAGCTGACTTGTGAAAAAAGAAAAAACAACGAGAGCTGCAGCCGGTCCTCCGGTGGAGGCGGGGCAGCCCAGGAGCAGCAGTAGCGTGTTCTGTGTTTATATGTTGTTAATAAAAAGTTCTAAAAAATAAATAAATAAAAATAGTGAGCGCCGGCCCTGCAGCCCACAAATCAAACCGGCCCACCGGGAATTCTCCAGACCGTCCCGATTGGCCACTCTAGACCTGAATATGAGCATTTTTCTCCTTTTTTCTCTTTTTGTTTTTACTTCTATATTTTGTATTGAATATTAGGGAGTGGTGGCACAAAGGGTAGTGGGTCTGTGATCCGAACTTTGCTAGTTCATCTTTGGTACCAACAACATCAAAATGTCGGTGGGATAGGTGAAGCACCCACACCTCCCTCCACCCTCATTTGCCCCACTCTGGGCCCCTGAGCAAGGACCTCAACCCCCACCATCTGCTCCCCAGCGCACCCCAGATAGCAGCTCTCTGCTCCACACAGAGGGCTGTGGTAGCTCAGTGGTCTGTGGTTGCATCAGGAAGAGCATCTGGTGTTAAAAAATAAATAAAAATTGCCAAGTCTTTATGCAACTTAGTTTGCTGTGGCCACCTCTGAAGAAGGGAGCAGCCGAAAGAAAAATCTTCTTCTTTTAGCGTTTCCCTCTTCAGGGGTTGCCACGGCGAGTCATCCTCCTACAGCTCACTCTGTCCTCTGCATCCTCTGTCCTCATTCCACCTCCATATCCTCTCTAACTGCATCCATATATCTCCTCTTTGACCTTCCTCTTTCTTTTTCCTGGCAGCGGCATTTCTAACATCCTTCTACCAATATACCCACTGTCCCTCTTCTGGACATGTCCAAACTATCTCAGTCTGGCCTCTCTAACTTTATCTCCCAGTTGTTCAACCCAGTGGTGTTGTCTACATGATACGCTGGTATATGCCATATACCCACTAGAAAAACTTGGGAATTTCCGTATACCCACTTAAAAGTGCCCAGTGATACGTGACATATATGGTAATTGGGTATGTGTCATTGATATGTTGAAACATTGAAACGTCTGGGCCAGTGGTCAGGGCGAAATGCATCGTAAATGGTCTCAGAGAACAGCAGTCCAGGGGTGGGGCAGGGAGAAGAGACTGTCTGTTTGTATTTCACCAGTCACGTGTGCCACCGCGAGCCGCTCCAGCTACGCGAATCTAGCAGGAGTGACGCAAAGCATTGTCGGAACAAGGGCGAGGGGGTCTTCAGAATAAAAGTTTAGACTGGATATTTATATTTTGTCATGTTAAAAGTATTAGTAACCTTTGAAACCACCAGCGTGAAATTTTGAGAGCAATAAACAGCAAAACCCTTATTAAACAACAATTAATGGTCAGATTACATTAAATTTTTATTATTATTTTTAAAACACTTCATTTAAAACATTCATATTTACATGTGCCTCATAAAACCTAAAAAACTCTCAAATTTTGTTCAATTTACTTTGGAAGTCTGAACTAAAAAGAAAATAACATAATAATAAATATGATGATATATGTGTGTGTGTGTATTTATGTAACACATTTCCATCCATCCATCCATCCATCCATCCATCCATCCATCCATCCATCCATTATCTTCCGCTTCTTAGGGAGGTGCTTTGGAAAAATCAACATGCAGCTCCAGAATGTCATCATCTGTCAGCACTGATAAAAGAATGACAAAGAAAATGTATTAAGAGTGCAGCGCAGTATTTCAAAGTTTAGCACCAGTGCATATTAAATATCATGAAAATGGAACAGAGAAAAACAAAAGGAGTAAAGAGAGGACAAGGCTAATTATCTATATCTTTCCATCTTTGTCTTGGTACCTGCATTTGTTTAGTGTGTGCACAAACGCAGAAGGAACTAAATCAGGACTCTGCCAGTCCAGTGACATCTCACCCAGAAAGCGTAAGCGTTTGTTTATTAGCAACTACCTAACTAGCTAACAGCTATAAATTGTGGGTCTACGCTTTACAAACAACTGTTGATAACAAGAGTTTCTATTGAAATAAAAGAATAGACACACAGCCTTACCTGATATAAAATGGGCACCACAGACCCGTGCAGTCCAATCCACCCGTTTGACAGCCAGAAGCCACAGCCGCCTTCAGTGGCTCTGAAACAGTCGATTACCTCTTGGTATATGGTAGAATTTAAGACCGTCCTGTGAATACTGGTTTGAACAACCGTAAACGCAACAACCTGACATTTTGATTCTGATGATGGTACTTATTTAGTGTTAGATTCTGTGTTATGATGGAATACCGCCTGGGTTTACCATCCGAAGCAGTACTTCCGTTGCCACGATGCGCGTGCAGCCTTCTTTGTTTACCAACACTGAATGGGTCTATACCCACTACAAAAATGTAGACTACACCACTGGTTCAACATGTGCTGTACTTCTGATGATCTCATTCCTAATCTTATCCATCCTTGTCACTCCTAAGGAGAACCTCAACATCTTCATTTCTGCCACGTCTAGTTCTTTCTCCTGTCTTTTTGTCCATGTCTCTGTCTCCAGACCAGACAACATGGCTGGTCTCACCACTGTCTTGTAAACTTTTCCTTTGACATTTGCTGACACCCTTTTTTTCACAAATCATTCCTGAAACTTTTCCCCATCCACTCCATCCTGCCTGGACTCTCTTTTCACCTCTTTACCACACTCCCCATTTTCCTGAACAGTGGACCCCAAGTACTTGAAGTCCCGCACCTTTGTGACCTCTGCTCCTTGTAGCCTCATTGTTTCACCGGCCTCTCCCTCTCATTCACACACATACTCTGTATTTCTACAGCTGACTTTCATTCCTCTTCTTTCAAGTGCATACATCCACCTCCAAGTTCTCTTCCACCTGTTCCCTGTTCTCACTAAAAATCACAATGTCATCTGCAAACATCATAATCCGCGAGGATTCCTGCCTGACCTCAACTGTTAGTCGGTCCATCACCAGAGCAAACAAGAAGGGGCTCAGAGCTGATCCTTGATGTACTACCAACTCCACCTTGATGCTATCTGTCACTCCTATAGCACATCTCACCACTGTGCTGCTGTCATACATGTATCCTCATACATGGGTAGTGGTGGCACAGAGGTTAGAGAAGATGGACCTGTGATCGGAAAGTTGCAGGTTCAACTCCCAGTACCATCAACGACTAGTCAATGTGAAATATAAAAACTCACAAGATGCCCCAGAATTGACTAGTCAATTAGTCGAATAGTCTATTCAACCCCTAATTTGGACCCACCTGATCAATCTTTGCCCTCTTCTCCTTTATGTCATCCTGCTGAGGCTCAACCTTCTTCTGCAAGTCGCTCAACAGGAACTCAAGCAGGAACTTCAATTTTTCCAGGTCCTGGATCTTCTTCTTGAGATCAGATATGGTGTTATCCTGTGTGAACATGAATGAGTTTCATTTGCGCTCATTCTTTCTACATGTAGCATACAGTTTATTTTCTACCCACATTTATTGAAGCATTCATACAAATATAAAGTGGTTTTATGCACATAAAAATCCAACAAGGTTAAGTCAGGTACTCTGGACTGTTTCTTTATGTTGAAACATTTCATCTTTCATCCAAAAGACTTCATCAGTCAGAGGAGATGCAACAAACTCAGTCTTATAATAGCACCTTCCCATAGTGGGTCAACCAGTTTGATGGTGCTCAGATGATTTCTGGAGTCCGTCCTCTCCCCTGTCGACTCCTCTGAGGCAGACATGGCCAAAGTGTTTCAGAACATGAAAGTTCATGTTCAATAATCCAGGTAAAACATCCAACAAAGTTAAGTCAGTTCCTCTGGATGTTTTTTTTTGTTGTTGAAACGTTTCAGTGGGGGAGAGGGCGGATTCCAGAAAACATCTGAACACCATCAAACTGGTTGGCCCACTTTGGGAAGGTACTGTTTACAAGACAGAATTTATTGTGGCTCCTTGGACTGATGAAGTCTTTTGGATGAAAGACGAAACATTCCAACATAAAGAAACTCCTCCCTGGGCTGCCATCTTACCGTGGTGGAGGGGTTTGAGTGTCCCAATGATCCTAGGAGCTATGCTGTCAGGGGCTTTACGCCCCTAGTAGGGTCACCCAAGGAAGACAGGTCCTAGGTGAGGGACCAGTCAAAGTGCAGCCCAAACACCCCTATGATGAATAAAAGAATTGGACTTAATGTTCCCTTGCCCGGATGTGGGTCACCGGGGCCCCACTCTGGAGCCAGGCCTGGAGGTGGGGCACGCGGGCGAGCGCCTGGTGGCCGGGCTTTTACCCATGGAGCTCGGCCGGGCTTTTACCCATGGAGCCCAAAGAGGAGACGTGGGTCCCCCTTCCCATGAACTCACCACCTGTGGGAGGGGCCAAAGGGGTCAGGTGCAATGTGGGATGGGTAGTGACCGAGGGCGGGGACCCTGTCGGTATGATCCTCGGCTACAGAAGCTGGCTATTGGGACGTTGAATGTCACCTCACTGGTGGGGAAGGAGCCTGAACTGGTGTGTGAGGTTGAGAGGTTCTGGTTAGAAATAGTCGGACTCACCTCTACGCATGGCTCTGGCTCTGGAACCAGTTTCCTTGAGAGGGGTTGGACACTCTTCCACTTTGGAGTTGCCCCTGGTGAGAGGCGCCGAGCAGGAGTGGGCATACTTATTGCCCCCCATCTTGGTGCCAATGTGTTGGGGTTCACCCCAGTGAATGAGAGGGTGGCCTCCCTCCGCCTACGTGTGGGGGGATGGGTTCTGACTGTCGTTTGTGCTTATGCACCAAACGGCAGTTCAGATTATCCGCCCTTTTTGGAGTCCTTGGAGGGGGTACTGGAAAGTGCACCTCCTAGGGACTCCCTTGTTCTGCTGGGGGACTTCAATGCTCACATGGGCAATGACAGTGAGACCTGGAGGGGTGTGGTTGGGAGGAACGGCCCCCCCTGATCTGAACCCGAGTGGTGTTTCTGTTGTTGGACTTCTGTGCTAGGCATGGATTGCCAATAATGAACACCATGTTCAAGCTTAAGAGTGTCCATATGTGCTCTTGGCACCAGGACACCCTAGGCCGCAGTTTGATGATCGACTTTGTCGTCGTCTCATCTGATCTGTGGCCACATGTCTTGGACACTCGGGTGAAGAGAGGGGGGGAGCTGTCCACTGATCACTACCTGGTGGTGAGTTGGCTCTGATGGTGGGGGAGGATGCCGGTCAGACCTGGCAGACACAAACGTATTGTGAGGGTTTGCTGGAAACATCTGGCAGAGTCTCCTGTGAGACGGAGTTTTAACTCCCACCTCCGGGAGAACTTTGAACATGTTCCGGGGGAGGTGGGGGACATTGAGTCCGAGTGGGCCATGTTCCATGCCTCTATTGTCGAGGCAGCTTACCGGAGCTGCGGCCGCAAGGTTGTCGGTGCCTGTCGTGGCGGCAACACTCAAACCCGATAATGGACACCATCGTGAGGGATGCTGTCAGGCTGAAGAAGGAGTCCTATCAGGCCTTTTTGGCCTGTGGGACCCCGGAAGCAGCTGATGGGTACTGGCAGTCCAAGCGACATGCAGCTCGGGTGGTCGCTTAGACAAAAACACGGGCATGGGAGGAGTTCGGACAGGCCATGGAGAATGACTTCCGCACGGCTTCGAGGCGATTCTAGTCCACCATCCGGCGTCTCGGGGGGGGGGAAAGCAGTACACCACCAACACTGTTTATAGTGGGGGTGGTGTGCTGCTGACCTCCACTCGGGATGTTGTGGGTCAGTGGGCAGAATACTTTGAAGACTTCCTCAATCCCACCGGCACGTCTTCTACTAAGGAAGCGGAGCCTGGGGACTCTGGGTCGGGCCCTCCTATCTTTGGTGCTGAGGTCACCAAGGTGGTTAAAAAGCTCCTCGGTGGCAGGGCCCCAGGGGAGGATGAGATTCGCCCGGAGTTCCTTAAGGCTCTGGAGTTTGTAGGGTTGTATTGGCTTACGCGACTCTCCAATATTGCGTGGACATTGGGGGACGTTCCCCTGAATTGGCAGACTGGGGTGGTGGTTCCCCTATTCAAAAAGGGGGGCCATAGAGTGTGTTCCAACTACAGGGGAATCACGCTCTTAAGCCTCCCTGATAAGGTCTATTCGAGGGTTCTGGAGAGGAGGGTCCATTGGATAGTCGAACCTCGGATTCAGGAGGAGCAGTGCGGTTTTTGTCCTGGTCGTGGAACACTGGACCAGCTCTACACTCTTAGCAGGGTCCTGGAGGGTGCGTGGGAGTTTGCCCAACCGGTCTATATGTGGTTTGTGGACTTGGAGAAGGCGTTCGAACGCGTCCCTCGGGAACCCCTGTGGGAGGTACTCTGGGAGTATGGGGTACAGGACCCTTTGATACAAGCTGTTAGGTCCCTGTATGACCGGTGTCAGAGCCTGGTTCGCATCACCGGCAGTCAGTCTGTCGTAGTGAAGAGAGAGCTGAGTCAAAAGGCGAAGTTCTCAATGTACCAGTGGATCTACGTTCCTACCCTCATCTATGGTCATGTGCTTTGGGTTGTGACTGAAAGAACAAGATCACAGATACAGGCGGCTGAAATTAGTTTTCTCCGCAGGGTGTCTGGGCTCTCCCTTAAAGATAGGGTGAGAAGCTCGATCATCCGGGAGGGACTCCGAGTAGAGCTGCTGCTTCTCCACGTCAAGAGAAGCCAGTTGAGGTGGCTCGGGCATCTGGTTAGGATGCCTCCTGGATGCCACCCTGGTGAGGTTTTCTGCACACGTCCCACTGAGAGGAGACCCAGAGGAAGACCCAGGACACGCTGGAGGGACTATGTTTCTTGGTTGGCCTGGGAACACCTCGGGATTCCACCAGAGGAGCTGAAGCAAATGGATGGATGGATGGATAGTGGATGGATAGATGGATTATTGAGCATGCAACAAGACAATATCCATCCATCCATCCATTATCTTTTACCCGATTCTTCCATTTTGGGTCACGGGGGTCGCCGGTGCCCATGTCCAGCAATCACTGTGCGAGGGGCGGTGTACACCCTGGACAGGTCTCCAGTCCATCACAGGGCCAAAAATTAAGACAAACAAAACAAACAACCATTCACTCTCTCACTCACACCTAGGGACAATTTAGAGTTACCAATCAGCCTAACATGCATGTTTTTGGTCTGTGGGAGGAACCGGAGTACCTGGAGAAAACCCATGCATGCACGGAGAGAACATGCAAACTCCACCCAGAAAGGCCCCCGGACCGGGGTTTGAACCAAGGACCTGCTCGCTGAGAGGCAGCAGCTCTACCAGTTGCACCACCGTGCTGCCACTCAAGACACAAGATGGGTTAAGCAAATCAGTGACTACTGAACAGAAGCCTTTGGAGATTCTGATTTTAGTTTTTCACCTTGTCTTGGCTGGACTTTTCATGTCCAGATATCTGTCTCTTCAGGTCTTCATTGTCACCCTCCAGAGAGCGGATCAACCCCAGAAGACTCTGCTGCTCCTGCTTCAGCTTGTTTATGTCTTCACACTGGTCATCAATCTGTCTCTTTAGACTGTATAGCTGTGAGAACACAAACATGCTAAATTAATGAAAAAAGACAGAAAATCAGAAACATAACACAGAGAGAAATGTTGCTCTAAATATGTTCTCGTAAACATGCCACTCTAGAATTTCTTTATATTTACAGGGGGGATGCAGAGAACGATCAAGGGGGCTGTAGTAACTATACCCTGTTTGTAGGTGTCACTATGTCACTGACACAAAAATACACCACAAGTAGGAGACAACATATGGAGCATGCACAAAAAGCTTGCACAAATGTATAAATCACAGATGTAATAAAATACTAGACCAAGTGTGGCCTGCTTCTCTCATCATGCTGGTAGATAAAGCCAGCTGTACCAAGTTTACAGAAGCTACTGTGTTGGATTTTAGGGGCCAGCGTTGGTGCAGTAACAGTGTGGGGCTTTGGGGTCTTGCCCATTCTACTTTTACTTGTCTTTAAAAAAACGTGAAATAATTAGGGCAGCACGGTGGCGCAACTGGTAGAGCTGCTGCCTCTCAGCGAGCAGGTCCCTGGTCCGGGGGCCTTTCTGGGTGGAGTTTGCATGTTCTCTCCATGCATGCGTGGATTTGCTCCGGGTACTATGGTTTCCTCCCACAGACCAAAAACATGCATGTTAGGCTGATTGGTAACTCTAAATTGTCCCTAGGTGTGAGTGAGAGAGTGAATGAATGGTTGTTTGTCTTCTTTGTCTCTATGTGTCCCTGTGATGGACTGGAGACCTGTCCAGGGTGTCCCCCACCTCTCACACAGTGATTGCTGGACATGGGCACCGGCGACTCCCGTGACCCAAAATGGAATAAGCGGGTAAAGATAATGGATGGATGGATGTTCTGCCTTAAAAAAAGGCAGCATGGCGGTGCAGTTGGTAGAGCTGCTGTCATTTCATCTGTCACTAGTGTTTATAATTAGACTAGAGGTAGGTCTATGACGCCATCACTTTCAAAGGTTTGCACCAGTGCTGTTTACATAAAAATAGTAAGATTATTTCGCACTGGAACCTATTATTGAAAAATAATGTTTCGGGCTCCTAAAACTATGTGTGGACACCATGCTGAAAAAAACCCAAACCTTCACATGTTCACAAAAACCGCTTTTGTGAGGACAAGACCTTAGAATTGAGAATGTTTCTTTTAAGAACATGTAATGATTCATTTGACCTTTTTGATGATTTAACAGAAGCAACATTTGATTACATAATAAGAGCTTTAGTCACCTTTTGCATCATAATGCCAGTTTTTCCTTTCAGGTCTGTGTTGGTTTCTTTCTCTGAGTGCAGTTTTTTCTCAAACTTGATTTGGATGGCCTGGATCTTCTTCTCCTCAGCTTCCTCTGCCCGCTTTATCAATTGTTCAAACTCACAGATCTTCTGCTCAGCCTCCTCCTGACACTGTTTGGAAATAAGACCACAATAAAACCAAGCTGGACCAAAGAACTAGATCACAGCTTGGCCTCACCGTCCTGGTTGTGCTCCTTGTGACTGACCTGAGCCATGAGCTGAGTCTTCTCCTGCAGTTTGATTTCATACATCTTTGTGAGCTCCTCCAGATCCTGGGTTCTGCTTTCTTCTGCCAACTTCAGCTGCTTCTTATAGTCCTCCTGCATTCTTTCATGCTTTTGCAACAGATCCTGGTACTTCTCATGCTCTGCTGTAAGTGTTGCTGTATAGGATACCTCTGTTTATTTAAAAAAAAAAAAAACTTGAGTAGTAGCCATTTTGGTCAAACCTTAAAAACAAGATTAATGCAGTTTCATGCACAAATGCAAGATGATGACTCAGCTATGACTACATCAGATTTTAGCTCAACATCTGTCAAACTGACAGAAAAAAGAGGGCTCAAGATGGCGCTGATGATGTAGGCTGTGTCTTGGAGATCTCCCGTCAGGCCTGATGGAAAATTAATTTTTATAACTGCACTCTCGTTATTTTAGGGCTGGATTCTGGTTCCAAGACTGATATTGCTGAACCAACAAGCTGGTAAAATGGCCTCTAAGCACAAAAAATCTAAAGTTTTGCCTTCATCTCAACCGCGGCCTATTGCTAATGCTAACACTAAAGCTAACGCTTCGGACTGAAATAGTTACGTGATCATCTTCAAAGAAATAATCTGTCTGAAGAGTTTCAGTCAGGTTTCAGAGCTCACCACAGCACAGAAGCTGAACTGGTGAAAGTTACTAATGATATGCTCATGGCCTCTGACAATGGACAGGTGTCTCTACTGGTCCTGTTAGACCTCAGTGCTGCATTGATCATAATAATCTACTACAGAGACTTGAATATATTGGAATTACGGGATTGGCTCTAAATTGGTTTAAATCTTATCTATCTGAAATATTCCAATGTGTAAATTTAAATAACGAATATCCTGATACATGCTAAATAATCCAGGTAGAAAAATCTAAAAAAAGTTAAGTCTGGTACTCTGGACATTCAAAAAAACAAAACAAAACAAAAAAAAAATGTAGATACGTTTCGTCTTTCATCTGAAAGACTTCCTCAGTCTGAGGTGCTGTATTCAGCTCAGTCTCTTAAATAGCACCGTCTCAGAGTGGATCAACCAGTTTTGCTGCTGACAACCAAAACCAGCTGATCACATGCTCAAGAAGGACCATCAGCCTAACAATGGATCATTAGCACCTGATGGCTGTTTACTACTCACAGAGGGCTGAGTGATACTAGCAATCACAGCATTGTAAGAGGGGGACAGTTGAACACGGAGGCCTCCACCCCTGTTTAACGATGGACGGTTTCTTTTCACAAAGATGGCCTCCTTTACTCCTCTCTCAAACCATCGTTCCTCTCTGTCCAGGATGTGAACATCTTCATCCCTGAAAGAGTGACCTCTGGCCTGGAGATGAGTGTAGACCTCAGAGTCCTGGCCTGATGATGTTGATCTTCTGTGCTGGGCCATCCTTTTGGCCTGTGGCTGTTTAGTTTCCCCGATGTAAGACTGATCACCCTCCTGACACTGAACAACATACACAACATTACTCTGTTTGTGCCGGGGGACTGGATCTTTGGGATGAACCAGTCTTTGCCGTAATGTTTTTTTGGGGTTAAAAGACACTGGGACGTTGTGTTTAGTAAATAAACGTCTCAGTTTCTCTGAAACTCTCTCAACATATAGAATGACCACTGGTCTGGGTCTGGGTTCCTCCTTTTCACCTAATGGCTGACTGGAGTCATGTTTGGGTTTCTTCTCTGCTTTCAGGAAGGCAGAAGGAGAAATCCCACACAAAACAGGCTCTAGAGCAATGTGGATATCCTAACTGGGCCTTCCTGAAAATCCTCTGCAGGATGAAGTTGAGGATAGCAATCCATGACTTCCTGGTAGGCTACTGTATTTTTTCTTAACCAGCCTTATTACCAGTACTGTTCAGAAAAAAACTTTTCCTGTACGTATTTGTGTATGTTACCGATACATATTTAATCAAAAGTTACAAAATCTTCTGTGTAAATGTCTCACATTACAACATGGACACCCGCAGCTTACACACAAGCTATATATGTACAACATTATTATTATTATTTAAATTTAGTGGGTGCGGCTTATATTTGGGTGCGCTCATTAGTCCATAATTTACAGTAGTCTTATGGTAGCTTTGGAGGAGAGGCTGTCTGAACTGGAAGCTCGGCTCCGCGCTGTAGAAAAACCAGTAGCTAGCCAGGTCCCCTTAGACAGCGTGGAACCACAGAGACTAGCTCCCGTTAGCGGTCCTCCAGCAGACCCCGAGCAGCCGGGACCCCAGGCCAGCTGGGTGACGGTCCAGAGCAAGCGTAGTGCTAAGGCTAAGCCCCGAGTTCACCACCAACCCGTTCATGTTTCTAATCGATTTTCCTCGCTCAGTGACACACCCGCTGAGAAACAGACCCTGGTTATTGGCAGCTCCATAGTCTGAAACGTGGCTTTAGGGACTCCAGCGGTAATAGTCAAATGCATTCCGGGGGCCAGAGCGGGCGACATAGAATCTTATCTGAAACTGCTGACTAAGGCTAAGGCTAAATACAGTAAGATTGTTATTCACGTCGGCGGTAATGACACCCGGTTACGCCAATCGGAGGTCACTAAAATTAATGTTGCTTTGGTGTGTGACTTTGCTAAAACCATGTCAAACTCAGTAGTTTTCTCTGGCCCCTTCCCCAACCTGACCAGCAATGACATGTTTAGTTGTATGTCGTCAATCAACCGCTGGGTATCCAGGTGTTGTTCTGACAATGACGTGGGCTACATAGATAACTGGAGTTCTTTCTGGGGAAAACCTGGTCTGATGTGGAGAGATGGCATCCATCCCACTTTGGACGGAGCCGCTCTTCTTTCTAGAAATATGGCTGTTCTATTTCGTATAGGCTTCGCCCTTTAAGACTGTCGCTGGTGGGTTTATCCCTAGGCACGCAGCGCAGCACTGAAAACTTTAGTCCATGCCCACCTGCTGTGTGGGCCTTACCCCCAGTCTGTATAAATTACGGTGAGACAAGGTAATCATCTCCCGTTTTTTCTTCAGCCAGCTAGCTAGCACTGTCAGAAGAACGAAGAAGGAAAAGTTGTCCAGCTTTGACCGGCACAACCTTTGCTAAGGATGCCTGGTTCTCCGCCACGCCAGGTGGACTTTTCAGAGGCGGATTAACAGGTCTTTGAGGACCAGAACTGTTGCTGATTGGCAGGTGTTCAAAAACTTATTTGCAGCAGTAACACACAAATAAATTATTTAAAACATCATACATTGTGATTTCTGGATTTTTTATTTTTTAGATTATGTCTCTCACAGTGGACATGCACCTAAGATGAAAATTTTAGACCCCTCCATGATTTCTGAGTGGGAGAACTTGCAAAGTCGCAGGGTGTTGAAATACTTATTTTCCTCATTGTATACCTGGACCTATACCTGGACCTGGACCTATACCTGGACCTACCATTCTGTGTTTGTCTGTCTCTCCTTCCTGTCCTCTCAAACCAGCTGGTCAAAGCAGATGGCCGCTTGTCCTGAGCCTGGTTCTGCTGGAGGTTTCTTCCTTTTAAAAGGGAGTTTTTCTTTCCACTGTTGCCACTGTGCTTGCTCAGGATGGGAGACTGCAACGAAGCCAAGATTCAACTTGTCTGCTGGATTCATTAGATAGAGAACTTTACTAACTGGCTTTTTTATGTATGTGAATGTTCCTGTAAAGTGCCCTGAGACAACTTTGTTGTGATTTGGCGCTTTATAAATAAACTGAATTGAACTATCTTTGGAATATATGCCAAAACTCTTCACCCATCATCACTCATTTCACTGTTTGGGGTGGTCCCTGTGGATATGTCCTTCAGCAAATTTGAAAGGAATGTGATTGCCTTTGGCCCTCTTCTGGCCAGGAGGTTAATTTTGTGCAACTGGAAGGACCCACCCCCCCGGTTTATGTCCATTGGACAAGGGAGTTGATATCCATCATATCCATTTAGAAAAAATAAAATATACCCTGAAAGGGTCTGTCAAAAAAATTTGGGACACATGGAAGCTTTTTGTATTGTATGTAGAATGTATGTCAATGCCTGTTTTATTTGTTTGTGTATTTTTCACTGATCCAGTGTGGAAGGGAAGAGGTGGGGTGGGGTTTCTGTGTTCTGTGTTGTTGTTGTGTGTTTTGGGAAAAAAACAAAATTCAATAAAACACTTTGTTTAAAAAAAAATTGACAGAAAAAATAGAGACATTTTTTAGGTTGGCTAATGTAGATTATTTGTGTTGTCCATCTTGAATTTGGCTCCAAACATTCAGTTGTAGATGTAACATGTTCCTGAAATATTTTGCTAAGAGACACACACATGAACACACACACAGGCAAAACATGCCTTCTGTGGCAGATGATACTGAAGAGCAATGTTTTGGTATTAATGTTGTTCTTGTCTTACCTAAATCCTTCAGTTCTTCGGAATGCTTCATTGCAGTTTCTGCAGAACTCTGCTGATTCTCTAGTTCACTCTTCTCCATTTTTGCTTGCATGATCTACAGTTTAGGTATGAGAAAGGCAGGAAATTATACTCATAATACGCAGACTTTTAAATTGCCATTATAAAATAATAACAGTCGAGAAATTAATACAACCCAGAATGGCGTTACATAGATGTTTTCATTCTCTGAATAACTGAAGAAGGTCCCACAGATTCAGTACAAAAACACAGATGACGACTTTGTGTTTGACTAAAGCAAAAATCATAAAAGTCAAGGCAAACTGAGCCAAAAAAAAAAATAAAACTTAACCAGAAAAAACGCTTTTTTCTGAAAAATGCAGTACCCTGTGATGGACTAGCAACCTGTCCCGGGTGTCCCCCCGCCTCTCATACAGAGATGTGGGCTCCAGAGACCCCTTGACATAAAAAGGATTAAGCAGGTAAAGTTTGGTATTGATACCACAGTATCAGTACTTTACTGCTGTCACATTCACCACTCAGCTGGAGAGAAAGCAATGTAATCCATGCAGTGGTAATTTTTATTTTTAGTTAACTGTCCAGAGCCTTGTTTCTCATTGGTGTGTGGCAAAAATGCAGTATAAAGTTTTTTCATTATCAATAAATACCAGAAGAAGAAGAAAAAAGTCCGGTGGAAGGATTTTAAAGTGAACGATGATGACAAAAAAGAAAAACAGCAGTTTTTAGGAGGAGTGATGAGTTTCACAGCAGCACATGACATGACAGAAACAACAACATGGGAGACATCAGTTGTTTCAATTCGATTCCATTCAGTTTATTTATTTAGCCCCAAGTCACAACAGAAGTCATCTCAAGGCACTGAACATAAACATTTATATACATATATACATACATATATATATACATACATATATATATATATATATATATATATATATAT